TTGCTCTAAATAGTGAGTTCCAGGACAGCTGGGGCTACAGGGAAATAAATAAATAAATAAATAAATAAATAAATAAATAAATAAATAAAAAAAATAAAATAAAAAGATGCTGGGGCAGGAGACATGGCTCAGCAGTTAAAAGCACTGGCTGCTTTCCCAGAGGACTTGGGTTCAGTTCCCAGGAGCCACATGGTGGCTAACCATCAACTTTTAACTCCAGTTTCATGGATCCGGCACCCTCTTCTGGCCCCCACAGGCACTGCATCCAAATGGTGCACTTATGTGCAGGCAAAACATATATATATATAATTTAAAAGTAAATCAGTGATGCATAGTGGTACATGCCTTTAATCCCAGCACTTAGGAGGCAGAGGCAGGTGGATCTCTGCGAGTTCCAGGCCAGTCAGGGCTGCTTAGTAAGACCCTGTCTCAAAAACAAAACAAAACAAAACACCACAAAAAAAAGCAAATAAATAGGGGTTGGAGAGATGGCTCAGCAGTTAAGAGCACTTGGCTCTTCTTGCAGAAGACCTGGGTTTGAATCCCATCACCCACATGGTAGCTTACAACCATCCATAACTCCAGTTCCAGGGACTCCAACACCCTCTTCTGACCTCCATGTGTGCTCTGCACTACACAGGTGCACTTAGGTACATGCAGGCAATATACTCACACACATAGAATAAAAATAATACATTCTGTTTTTGTTTTTTTGGTTTGTTTGTTTTTGAGACAGGGTCTCTTCTCCCTGTAGCCCCAGCTGGCCTGGAACTCAGTATGTAGACCAGGCTGGCCTTGAACTCTCAAGAGATCTGCCTGCCTCTGCCTCCTGAGTGCTGGGACTAAAGGCAAGTGTCACCATGCCTGGCTGAAATTTTTTTTTTTCTTTTGGCCTTTTGAGACAGGGTCTCCCTGTAGCTCTAGCTGTCCTGGAACTCACTATGTAGACCAGGCTGGCCTCGAACTCACAGAGATCCGCCTGCCTCTGCCTCCCAAGTGCTGGGATTAGAGGCATGCGCCACCACACCTGGCTCTAAAATATTTTTTTTAGAGCAAATAAATAAAATAGATGCTGCTTGTTTGGGGGTAGAGGAAGTATATACTGTCTTGTTGCCAGAGTAACCAGTATCTGTTTCCAGAGCATCTTTCCTCATTAAAAGACAAATGGTTAAAGCTTTGGAGTACCAGTTCATACTATACCTTTGAGGGTGGTTCCTAGTGGGATCCTGAGTGTTAAGGCCAGCTTTCCTTGGCAAAGGGGTCCAATGGGCCTAATTTGCTTTCTGTTTGCCCCAAGGAACCATAGAGAGAATGTTATGAAGGTTAATACTGTCAGTTTGAGAGGCTGGAGGGATGGCTCAGTGGTTAAGAGCATTTGCTGTTCTGTTCTTGCAGAGGTCCAGTTCCCAACACCTGTATCAGGTGGCTCACAACCACCTGTAACTTCAGTTCCAGAGGATCTGATGCTCTCTTCTGGCCTCCGAAGGCACCTGCACTCACATGTACATACACACATATATACACTTAATTAAAAATAAAATAAGTCTTTTAAAAAATATATTGATGGGGCTGTAGAGATGGCGCAGTGGTTAAGAACACTGTTCTTGCAGAAGACTGGGGTTGTTGTGAGGGGCATCCTGTGAGTAACAGGATTTTCACAGTGACCCTTAGTCCTCATCCACTAGATACCAATGACATCTTCCCACCGTCCATGTGAGACAGCCAAAAATGTCTTCTCACTGTCAAATGCCTGATGCGGGGGCTGAGGTAGGCTGAATAATGGTGTCCACCACAGATATTCACATTTTAAAGAAAGGAATCTGTGAGACCATTGAGACCTTGTGCTGTGATTAAAGATGATCCCTGTAGGCAGGGACATTGTCTTGGATTATCTGAGTAGACCCCGCTTAGTCACACAAGTTCTTAAATGAACCAGTAGTGCCAGGGTCAGAGCAGTGTCAGTGGCAACAGGGAAAGGTGGGAGCTGCACAATGCAAGAGGATGGCCCTTGGGACACCCTGATGTCAGCCTGGGCGTGCCTCACCTCCAGGACTGCACGATGAAAAATTTGTAGCATTTCAGCTACCAACTTTGTGGTCGTGTGTGTTGAGGGCAGCTGTTGGGAATGAGGTCATGGGTAAGACTAGCCCTGTCAGAGTCAAGAGTCAGGTCCTGTTTTCACTGCTAGATTCCCTGTGCCTGCTTCCTTCCACAGAGGATGGGAGCTGAGGGCCTGGGAGGAAGACAGAAGGCTTCAGGATGATTTCAAGGGACTCGCCCAGTGGAGACGACTGCCCCCTGGTGATTACAGTGTGCCTGGCACACCAGCATTCCCAATAAGGGCTCCCTTCACTTAGGAATTGCCATCATCATTAGTTGCTATGGCAGACACACCTTATACTATGGGGTAAAAGATCTCAGCAAAAGCCAGATTGGTGGTGCATGCCTATAATCCCAGCACTCAGGAGGCAGAGGCAGAGGCAGGAGGATCAGCCATTCAAGATCATGTTTAGGTACACATCACGTTTGAGACGAGTCTGGGATGCATGACACCCTGTCTCAAAAACACAAAACCAAGCTGGGCATGGTGGTGTGCACCTTTAATCCTAACACTCAGGAGGTAGTGGCAGGTGACCTCAAGGCCAGCCTGGTCTATGTAGTGAGTTCTAGGTCAGCCACGGCTGCACATTAAGACCCTGACTCAAAACAAACAACCAGTTAGGCATGGTGGCACACACCTTTAGTTCCAGAGCTCAGGAGGCTGGCAGATTTCTGTGAGACTGAGTTCAATCTGGTCTACATGGTGAGTTCCAGGCCAGTTGGGGCTATAGGAAGACCCTGTCTCAAGCCCCTCCCCCCAAAAAAACCCAAACCAAAAATTCTTGGCTTTTATTTGCTTCTGCGATAGGTTGGCCTCTAACTCAGACATATATAGTTGAGGATGACTTTCAACTTCTGATCCTCCTGACTCCACTTCCAAAGCTGCTCGAATTACAGGTGTGGGTCGCCACACCCCATTTATGTATTGTTTTAATGCATGGTAGGCATGCCAGCTGAGCTACATCCTCAGCCCTGTGTTTGCTTTGAGGCAAACTTTTACTAAGTAGCTCAAGTATGCCTTGAACTTATGGCAATCCCCCGGCCTCAGTCTCCTGAGTGCTGGGATTACAGGTGTGCACCTCCACACCTGGCTTCCTGTTCCTTTTTTTCTGGACTGAGGATTCTAGCATTCTACTTCTGAGCTAACCACCAGTCAGTTTATGTTATTCTCTTATCATAACCAGAACTGATTGCAACACTTTAGCAACAAGGCTTCCTGTGGCCTGGCCTCAGCTTGGCCCACTGGTTGCCAGAGAAGAACTATGTCCTTGGGGCTGAAGAGATGGCTCAGCGGTTAACACTGGTTGTTCTTGCAGAAGACCTAGGTTCGAATCCCAGCACCTACATGGCAGCTAACAACTGTCTGAAACTCCAGTTCCAGGGGATCTGGCAGGCTCTTCTGTCCTCCACGGGCATTGCATGACACAAATACACTTACCTACATGCAGACAATACATAAATACATACATACATACATACATGTAAAATAAAAATAATAAATAAAAAAATTAAAAAAAAAAAAAAAGAACTATGTCCTTGACTGCCCGTAACGTTGGAGTCCTGCAAAGAAGGCCACCAACTTGTCCTGGTTTTAGACCAGAAGTCATGCCCCACCTCCATGCCCTAGTTCCAGGCACACAAGGACAGCTGGTCACCTTCCTACAGTGCAGAGATCTAAACCTCTGTGATGTCACCTCTGTGTCACCTCTACAGTGACACATTCCACTGCTTTCAACACAGAGGCCACTGTCCCCATAGGGCTTCCAGGTTGTAAGGAAGTCCCTTCTCAGGCCCCAGCCTCTTGGGGAAACCTGCTCCCAACAGTGCAGGGGAGGCCTCATCAAGATACTGACCAAGAAGTCCAAACTGTAGGCCTGGCTTCCACACAGCACAGAGGACCTTATTTGCACCTGGTTACCCTGGATATGTGTCCATCACCAGCAGTCCCACCACCTACCTGCCAGGGCCTGCACAGAGGGTTGGTCATGAGTGCTCAGCAGCTGTGCCTGGATGGTCTCCACTACTCGCTTGAACCGACGGCTGGGACCTGAGGGGATGGGCAGGCAGGAAACACAGTGACCCAGGGTGGAGGCAGGCAAGGCCTCTCCACCATGCAAGACTCTCTTCTTCTAACTGTTAATCTCCCCTACTCTGTTGGGGACTGCTTTCAACCAAGATTCCCAAATGGTTCTCTATGTTGCATTTAAGGAATACAATCAAACTCAGACATCTTACATTTAAAATAACAATAGGTGGGCCAGTACTTGGGAGGCAAAGGCAAGCGGATCTCTGTGAGTTCAAGGCCAGCCTGGTCTACATAGTGAGTTTCAGGCCAGTTGGGGCTACAGGGAGACCCTGTCTCAAAAAAGACATATATACACACACACACACACACACACAACAATAGGCGTCATTTTCTATTTAACTAGGTATCGTTGCTCATTCAAATTTCCTTAAGGCCGAGGAGAACCAGAAATACAAGAAAAATAAGTGGAAGGGGAAAAAAATCTTGGGTTAGCAAGATGGTTCAGTGGGTAATGGCACTTGCCCCTGAGTCTGACAACCTGAGTTCAATTCCTGGGACCCATGGCAGAAAGAGAGAACTGATTCCTCAAATTGACCTCTGACCTCCAAACTTGTCACGTACATACAAAATAAATAAAAATATTATTTAAAAAAAACCAAAACGAGGCTGGGCATGGTGGCGCATGCCTTTAGTCCCAGCACTTGGGAGGCAGAGGCAGGCGGATCTCTGTGAGTTCAAGGCCAGCCTGGTCTACATAGTGAGTTCCAGGACAGCTGGGGCTACAGGGAGACCCTGTCTCAAAAAGACCAAAAAACAACAACAACAACAAAAAAAACAACTTTAAATGGAGAAAGGTCCATTTATCAGTCTTTAGGAGAGAGAAAAAACAGTAAGAGAGTCCTAATTCATTTTGGTGATGCCAATTCACCACAGCCTGATTTTCAGAAACTCGGGCAGCAAACTCATCTCCTGACCACACCATATTAAAATTGGTGACAAAAAGCACAAACAGAAGAAAGCATTTCTTGTTATCCAGACTCCCATGATTAAGACTCAGGAACCAGGAATTAGAAACAAGGCATTCCTGTGGTTTTTCTTCTCAGGCCAACTTTTGATTAGTCGAGGCTGCCAAGAGAGTTCAGAGAGCAGTGTATCGATAGATTGATGATGTCTGGTCTGAGTAGGACACTGATGTTTGGGGTCAATAAGCTTGCTCTCCTAGTACAGGGGAGATGAGGAGCTCTGTAGTTTCTTCCTTCATAAAATGAGTGACTACTAAAACCTTAGCATTTTCCATGAAATAATCTTTCATTATGTACACCCATGAACAGAATGGGAAAGTAAAGCATGTTGGGGTGGGGGCTCACAGAACCAGCACCTTTTAGTACCACTTCCTGTCTTCCCTCTTGCTGCCCTCCCATAGCCCAAGTTTGGCCAAGAGAGACTCACCTGAGATGAGAGTAAAGGTGACGGAGTAGATGCCACCCCCACTGCTGCCATCTCTTCGGGGTGAGGGCTCTGGACCCTCAGAGGAGCTGATGTCCACTTGGAAGCGGACAGGCTTCTGGAAGACGGAGGGGCCACCGCTGGCTTTGTATTCAGCCCTGAAGCTGGTCTGTGACAGCACACTGTGACTCAGGCTGGGGATCTGGAAGGTGAGAACACGAGGATGGTATGAGTCTAAAAACAACCTGCTCTGCCCAAAGAACTACAAGTCCCATCAGCCACGGGGGGGGGGGGGGAAAGAATAGCAAAAAAGGGCCTTGGGAAAACCTATTGTCTGCCGAGGATTGTAGTTTCTTCTGCTCTATAATTCATCCGGCTAGCAAAGGAATGGATGAACAACCAAATCCTAACTTCATGTGGAATCTCATATCTGAGACAGCTCCAGGATTCAGCACTATATGAAACACACCTTTCTTTTCCTCCCTCCCTCCACAAGACATGTATCTACAAAAATACAAGTCCCATCAGCTCTACAGCAAAGAAGTGTAGGTCCAGTGGTAAGCAGACATCCTTAAAGTCCACTGAGAAAAGTATTTCCTCAGATCTGGTGGCACGGCATGGCAATGTCTTCTATTAATATCTGGGAATCTTCCATCGTTTCAGATCTTGTTTTATTTTTAGGCTTTGGGCCAAATAATCTGTTCCTGCCTCCTGTCCCATACTGACCAAGCTTGACTCTTGCTGAAAAACTACAAATCCCTAAGTCCCAGGAGGAAGTGGGGCCTGGGATAGAATGCGGGTCCCCTGGGGTTTGTAGCTCTGTGGTAGACAGGGTTGATGGGGCTCCCAGGGGCCTCACCGACAGAAAGGCATGGACAATGTCCGCTTTGATGCTGCTGAGTGGTTTGTCCTTTAGCACAAGGAATATTTGTTCTTCTTTGTCCAAGGAGATGAAGTTCCCAAACCAGGAGCGTTTTGCCAGCCTAGGTGGAGGGGGGCAGAAGGAGAAGGGTCAGGAAGGTGACGAGAGCCGAATCCCCTCCATTCCCACTCTTTCCCTGTTGGACTCACTCGGGAGAGGACTCTGGTGTCAAACTGGACATCTCCTCAGCAGTGGGGACTGGGTAGAGGAGGGGAGAGAAAGTGGTCAACACTTGTCTATCATCCTAGAAGCCAGTGTGTGTCCCTTCTTCCCAGGGGTCCAGGCCCCTGTGGGTGTACTACCTCCCAAATGACTCTCTGACCCTAAAGTCCAAGTAGCTTGTTGACTGGTCTTTTAGGGAAGCTGGGGAGTTAGTTAGACCACACCTTCTGATGCAAAGCTCAAGCTCCATGGACCAATGAGAAGGTAGATGATCCAGAGAACAGAAGGAAGTGCCTTTGAGTTGGAGGCCCCATCTCCTCTTCCCCCAAATCCCACCACCTGCATTGTCTTGGGACAAAAGTAGACTTGGAGCCCTCCAGGGTGACCTCCTGGAGGATCAAATGTTCAGTCTCTCCTCCCCGCATGAGAACCCCCGCAGCTGACAACCCCAGCACTGTATCCTCTGAGACCGTACCCTGCATCTTGCGCCGGTGGAAGCGAGGAGAGCCCAGGAAGCTGTTGCGGATGGAGTTGAGGCGACTTCTCCAGGCAGCTCCCCCGACACCACCACCTGGGCTGGGGGGTGGCGTTGTTCCCGGGGTTCCAGTAGGGCTGGCCCGAGGTGTGTGCAGAGGTGAGTGCAAGGGGGTCCCACCGGAGGAGCGCGGGGAGCCCGGGGGTCCAGGCAATGGTGTGGAGCGGGCACTGGGGGGCGGTGGCTGCTCCCCGGCGCCCCCACCTCTGGGGCCCCGAGAAGGCAGCGTCTGTGTTTTGGAAGTCGGGGAGCCTCCACCTCTTGCCTCGTCTCCAGCGCCTGGCTCCGGCGAGAAGGAAAAGACCGGACTCTGTGTAGGAGCAGGACCTGGTGAGATGGCAGACTACAACTTCCGGGAGGCTTTGCGAGCATCATTGGCTCAGGCGCCATGGGGAGTAGGGCCCCGAGGCATGCTGGGAATTGTAGTCCAGTGACTTCACCCCCGCCCTCTCTAAGGCCTGGCCTTACCCTTGGGCTGCTCAGAGGGCTGGAGGACAGACCGGTGGAGGCTCCACTCACGCTGCGAGATCTGTTTCACAGTTAAAAGAAAAATTTCAGGCAGGAAAATTTAAAGATTCAGATGTTCCTTCATTTCCACTGTCCTCCAGATGAAATAAAGCCTCCAGGCAGGGGAGGTAGTTAGTCCCCAGGCACACAGCACACTTGAGGTTGAGCAGGATGTAATTAACACCCTCTACTGTCTTCATATTCGGGGACTGAAGATTCATCTGGAGGGCTCTCACCTCTGACTGTGCTGGGCCATCTCCAAAGCCCTTCTGGTGGGCACTGGAGAGCCACCACTCCCAGCATCTGTGATGCTCAGGACTTCCATGGACTTCCGCTCTGGCCTCCGCTTCCCGTGTCTGCTCAGCATGGGGGAATCCACACGTTTCCGAGGTGGGTCTGAAGGCAGAAGAGTATTAACCCACTTAGCAGTCAGATTTGTCCAGCAGTACTACAGTTGCCCAACAGCACCTCTACAACTGCCTTGTAAACAGATGGGGAAACTAAGGCCCAGAGCAGAGAGAGGTTCTCATAAACATCTAGCTGAACAGAGAAAGCCAGGGCCTACAGCACCTTCCTCCCTCTAGAATCCTGGGATCTAGACTCCCGGATCTGCCTCCTCACCAACATCATTCCGTGGAGGCAGGTTCTGGTCTTCGCAGCTGGGATACCGCTCTTTCCGATCCAAAAGCAGATAATAGATCATCTTTTCTTGGTTTTCCCTAAGACAGGGGAGAGAGGGGTGGTTTAAAGAGAGGACTGACGTCAGAAATCAGTGCCCAGGGCTGGTGTGGTGGCTCAGTGGGTTAAACGTACTTGCAATCAAACCTGACAACCCGAGTTTGATTCCCTAGGACCCCATACGTAGAAGTACAGAACCAACTCCACCAAGTTGTCCTCTGACTTCCACACCTGTGCCTTGGTATGTGTCCCTCCCCAATAAGTAAATATAACAAAAATTTAATAGAAAGAAATAAATCAGTGCACAAAGGAGGACTTATCCCCTCCCAGATGCTGTGGTTCCCTGTAATTCTGCCCCCAGTGCCATTTTCCCACATCTCAGTATGGTTGGTTTCCTATGGTCTAATGTGCATCCCAACTTCATTTTACTCAATAGCATAATAGCTGACATTTGAGTACTTACTAAGTATATGTTAAATTCTACTTAAGGATGACACTGTTCAAACAAGCATTTACCAGTACTCTTAACACACTGACGCCGCGACGCGGTGCGCCCCCCTCTGGCTGTCTAGCGAACTGCCTCAACCCACTACTCAAGGGAAGTGGGGTGCCTGTGCAAGGTGGGAGGCCGGGCTTACTCCTCGCTGCGCAGTTCTCGGTGCAGGCGCTCGCGGTCCCTGAAACAACCCAGTGACGCCATGCTCTCCAGAACGTCAGGGTCCAGCTCTCCATTGGAAGGCAGGCTCCGCATGGCTACCCTGCGGCCTGGGGCTGGTTCCAGGCAAGGATCTGGTTCGTGTTTACCGCCCCTGAAAGTGAAGAAACACCTTTGAGAAAGCTGCATCTGTGACAGAGCCTTCTTCAATCCTAGGCGTAGGTCCCTGGAGCCAGACTTCTCCTCTCTTGGGATCTTGGACCCCAGCTCCACTCCCTCAGACCCAGACAATTAAGGCCTAGTCTTTTCCCTTAGACCCAGGGATCCAGGCCCCAGCCCTCCTCCCTCAGACCCAGGAGCCAGGCCCCAGCCCTCCTCCCTCAGACCCAGGAGTCCAGGCCCAGCCCTCCTCCCTCAGACCCAGGAGTCCAGGCCCAGCCCTCCTCCCTCAGACCCAGGAGTCCAGGCCCCAGCCCTCCTCCCTCAGACCTGGAGTCCAGGCCCCAGCTCTCCTCCCTCATACCTGGAGTCCTGGAGTCCTAAGCCCCCTCCTCCCTCTGGTCCTCAAACCCCCTTCTTCAGCTTTGTTCCTCTGTGCCAGGACCCAGAAGGTGGAGACTGGAAACATGTCCCAATCCCCATTCAGGACTCTAGCCTCCTACCCTTTGGTCTGTGTATGAGCCCCTATGCCCTTCTCCCATGTACCCAGCTGTCCAGTTCCCTCTTACTCACAGGTACCAAGGATGTTTCTGAATTTGCTCCAGCTGTGAGGGGGAGTCAGGGAGAAGCAGAAATGAGATCATATACACACAGTAGGCCAGCAATTAGTTGATTGGGGTTGATACTGGGAGGTCCCTAAAACCTTGCTTCTCCAGCCAGGGGCAGGAAGACATATCACATATCTCATCCATGTCCAGGGTAATAGTTTTCCACACTAAGTAGTGCCCTGCCTGCCTGTTCAGCTCTGGGCCAATCCACACATGTGCCCTCCCCCACAACCTGGGTCAAATCTTGGATAGCTTCCTCTTCAGTTTGCAAGAACATATTTAGCTGGCCCTCCAGATTGCATCGAACCCAGTGAGCCCCTCCAAGGATTGACAGGCCAGCCCTGGACACTCATCCTACGGCACCCCTAAGGATTCTGCCCTCTATCCGTCCCCACTAACTTACACTGAGCCTTTTTTCGGGCTCCACTTCAATCATCCCTCTCAGAAGGCTCTGGCAATCAGGAGGAATGAAGTGTGGCATGTGGAAGACGCCGCGTTTCACCTTCTCCAGTAGCTGACGCAGGTTGTCGTCATCAAAGGGCAGTGCCCCCTGTGCATGATGCAATCAAGACCCCTCAGGTGGAGTGTAAGATTGGGCAGGTGAGGTTCCAAGCACTTCTGATGAATTCACACATTTCGCCCTCACCACAGGCACACGAGACAGAGCACTCTTAATGTCCTCATCTATGGGGCTGTATACTTGGTAGAATGCCTGCCTAGTATACCCGTGGCCCTGGGTTTGATCCCCAGCACTTGGGCGGTAGAGGCAGAAGAATCAGAAATCCAAGGTCATATCTGGCTACACTGCGTGTTCAGGGCCAGCCCAGTTGATATGAGACTGTCTCAAGCAAAAAAAAACAATGCACATAGGAGGCAGAGGCAAAAGGCAGGCAGATCTCTGTGAGTTTGTAGCCAGCCTGGCTACACAGGGAGTTCCAGGTCAGCCAGTGCTATGTAGTGATGCCCTGTCTCAAAAGAAAATACGAGATTCCTCCCAACAAAACCCCAAACCAAAAATCCTCATTTTTCAGCAGAGAAATTGAGGCACATAGGAGAGCTCAGAAATTTGTTCAAGGATGCCTACTATGTAACATGTAAGGATTTGCAATGGAGCAGTATCTCAAAAACAAGCCAAAAAATTAAATTAAAAAGGTCTGAAGATATAGTTCAGGGATAGTGCACTAGGCATGAGTCTCTGGGAGGGCAGGAGGGAGGGATTGAGATATATATATATATGAGAGAGAGAGAGAGAGAGAGAGAGAGAGAGAGAGAGAAAAAAAGAGGAGAGAGAGAGGGCTGAGGTTGCAGCAAGAGGTTATTCCTTAAAAACAGGTTTCTACTCCAGGGATAGTGACACATATCTGTAATCCCAACACTGAAAGCTCACTGTAAGTTCAAGGCCAGCTTGGTCTACATAGGAAAACCCTGTTTTTCTGAAAACAGGATGGGTCCTAAGGCTATCCACTTTACAGGAGTGATCTCACTGTACAGTGCAGGGCCTACTGTGAGAATTCTCCAACTGTGGGCTATTGTTCAGCACTCAACAGTTGATTGAGTCCTTCATACATCCCAGTGTCTTTTAAGTCTTTTCCAAATTACATTTATTTATGTATTTAGTGTGTGTGTGTGTGTGTGTGTGTGTGTGTGTGTAGGTCTGGTTCCTCCTACCACGTGGGTCCCAGAGGTGGAACTCAGGTCATCAGGTTTGGATGCAAGTACCTTTACGTGCTGAGCCATCTCACCAGCCCACGTCCCAGCTTCTCATCAAGTCACTATAAATGAAGCATGGGGCAAAACCACGCTCCTGTCCTCATGGAGTTTGCCTTAGACAGCTGGTACACACTGATGCTCAGTGACTAAGCCTCAGCCACTGAATGAGTCGAAGTTCTGTTTTGGAGGGAGACAGATGATACATATATGGATGTATCAGGGGCTGTTGAGATGGTTCAGTGGCAAGTACTTGCCCCCCAGGTATGAGGACAAGAGTTCAGATCCCCAGAACCCAGGTAAGTGCCAGTTGGGCCTGTAACTCCTACACTGGAAGATGGAGATGGGATCCTCAGAGAGCAAGCTGGATATCGGTGAACTCTGGGTTTGATTGAGAGAACTTGCCTCATTGAATAAGGTGGAAGAGTGATGGAGGATGATTCCCAACATCAATGTCGCCATATACATGCACCCATGCACACATGTGCCCATACACATGCAAACATGCATACATACATGCACACCACACACATGAAAATGGAAAAAATAAAATAACTGGACACATCAGTAAGACAGGTGAAAGGCTGGGTACCATGTAATTCCGGTGCCCAGGAGGCAGAGGCAAGAGGATCCTTGCAAGATTAAGGTCAGCCTGGTCTACAAAATGAATTCCAAGCCAGGCAGGACGACATAGTAAGACCTAGATGCACTAGTCCTCACATGCACTAGTCCCTAGGTTCAGACTCTGATACTATAAAAGAGAAAAGCTTTGGGACTGGAGAGATGGTTCAGTGGTTAAGAGTGCTTGCTGTGAGCCGGGCAAGGTGGTGCATGCCTTTAATCCCAGCACTCAAGAGGCAGAGGCAGGTGGATCTCTGGGAGTTCAAGGCCAGCCTGGTCTACATAGTGAGTTCCAGGCCAGCTGGGGCTACAGGGAGACCCTGTCTCAAAAAAGACCAAAAAAAAAAAAAAAAGCACTTGCTGCTCTTCCAGAGGACCCCAGTTCAGTGTCTAGTACCCAAGCACCCATAATATTAGGTGGCTCACAATCACCTGTAACTCCAGCTCCAGGAGACCCAGTGCCCTCTTCTGGCTTCCACAGGCATCCATACATGCTTGGCTTACATACACAGACATACCCATAAAAACAAAAACAAAACAAAAATGGTCATCGAAAGAAAGGAAGGTAGGAAGAAAGGAAGGGAAGGGAATGTTGGTTTTATTACTGACCACACTTAACAACACTGTGTTTGCCAGACATGATGAACATGTTTATAATCCCAGTTTCCAGGAGGCTGAGGCAGGAGGATCCCTGCAAATTTCATTCCAGCCTGGGCTACATGGTGAGTTCCAGTCCAGCATGGGTTATACAGTAAGAAAGAGAAAAAGAGACTGGGGGGGCAGGGGGGCAGGGGGAGGGAGTCTACAAGAGTGCTTCAAGGATGGCAGGGGGTGGAGGTCGGGGGAGGAAATCACTAAAATACACTTTGTTCAAAAGTTCCATAATGAGGGGCTAACAACCATCTGTAGCTCTGGTTCCAGGGGACCCAAAACCCTCTTCTGGCCTCCATGGGCATTGCATGCATGGGTGCACTTACATACATGTAGGCAAAACACTCACACCTTAGGGTTTTTTTTGTCTTTTTGAGATAGGATCTCCCTGAAGCCCCAGCTGGCCTAGACTCGCTTTGGAGACCAGGCTGGCCTGGATCTCATAGAGATCTGCCTGCCTCTGTCTCTCAAGTGAAATACTGGGCCGGCACACATAATCCCACCCTCCTCCCACAAAAAAAAAATTTTAAGTCCTTTAAAAAATATTAAAAATGTAAAATGCTTGCCTGAGCTACAACAGTGAATTCAGGGCCAGCCTGGGCAGCTTAACAAGACCCTGTCTCAAAATAAGAAGTAAAAGCAGGGCTCGGGATGTAGCTCAGTGGTACAGCACTTGTCTAGACCCCACCAGTGAAGAGCTAGGAGTGCATCTCAGTGGTAAAGGGCTCACTAGCATGTACAAGGCCCTGAGATCCACCCCTAAACACTGCAAACAAACAAGCAAACAACAAAAAATGCACAAAGACAACTTCAGGTAATGACTGGCTGGCTTTGACAAAGTGTTGTGACCAGAGGGCAGAAGGAACTAAGCTACGTTTTTCCTGGAAGCATTGATTCATTATTCATTAATTCAGTGTTTGCAGTGATTCTATAGAATCCAATAGAATACTGAGGACCAGCTGGGTTGTGGTTGTTATTTTTAATCTGTCCTAGAGTCCTTCCTGATAGGATCCTCACACAGAGGACAGGAAGCCAAGGCTCGCTGCCATAACGTCCTGCATCAGCATCAAACCCAGGCTTCCTAACTCCAAGATCAGCTGTCAAGGGTTCCTGCTCCTTGTCCTCTGCCCCCGCGCCCATTCTGCTCAGATGCCACAAGCAACCGGACACTTGGGAAAGTCCTCCGACTTGCAGGATCACTCTGTTTGTGCAATTCGACCTCCAAGAACCCTCATCTGACTCCTTAGATAAAACTAGGTTCCCTTCTTGCTATAAGGAAATATATATATATCCTCAGCCTGCTCACCACACCTTTCCATTCCTGGCCGTCGTTTCTTTTTCTTTCTCTGTTTTTTTCTTTTTGGTCTTTTTGAGACAGGATCTCCCTGTAGCCCCGGCTGGCCTGGAACTCACTTTGTAGACCAGGATGGCCTTGAACTCAGAGATCCACCTGCCTCTGCCTCCCAAGTGCTGGGACTAAAGGCATATGCCACCAGACCTGGCTTTTTTCTTTTTTTAAAAAAAATATTGTAATTATTATTATTATTATTATTTTGGCCTTTTTCAGACAGAGATTAAAGGCGTGCGCTACCACGCCCGGCCTTGAACTTATTACTATTATTTATTTGTATGAGTGTATTGCCTGCATGTGTGTAATGTACCTATGTTGGACAATGTCTGTGGATGTCAAAAGAGGGTATGGAATTCCTCTGGAACTGGAGTTAATGGATGGTTGTCAGCCACCATGTGGATGCTGGGAACCAAACCCTGGTTCTCTGCAAGAGTAGCCAGTGCTCTTAACCGCTGAGCCATCTCTCTAGTTCCAGGTTTTGTTTTTTTTTTTTTTTTTTTTTTTAAACATTTTGTTTATTTTATTTTATTTTATTTTTTATGTGAATGAGTGTTATGTCTGCAGGTAGGTAAGTGTACCCATGTTGTGCAATGCCCACAGAGGACAGAAGAGGCTGTTGGATCCTCTGGGACTGGAGTTACGGGCAGTTGTTAGCTGCCATGTGGTGCCGGAATTCGAACCTGGGTCTTGCAAGAACAGTCAGTGTTCTTAACCGCTGAGCCATCTCTCCAGCCCCATACTATTTATTTATTTATTTATTTAATTTACTTATTTATTTGTGTGTGTGTATGAGAGGACAGCTTCTAGGAGTCAGTTCTCTCCTTCTACCACATGGGTCCTGAGAATCCAAATCAGGTCATCACACTTGGTGGCAAGTGCCTTTATCTAAGCCATCTCACCAGCTCTACTTTTCCTGTGTTCATCCTTTCTTCCTTCCTTCCTTCCTTCCTGTCTTCCTTCCATTTCTTATCTTTTCATTTCTTTTTTAAAAAAGATTTATTTTTTAATTATGTGTATGTACATGAGTGTCTGTGTAGGGGTGGGTATATGCATGGGCATGCAGTGCCTGTAGAAACCAGAAGACAGCATCAGATTCCCTGGAGTTGGGAGTTATAGGTGGTTGTGAACTACCCAATGTGGGTGCTGGGTACCAAACTCTGGTCCTCTGGAAGAGCAGCAAGTGCTTTTAACCACAGAGCCATCTCTCCAGCATTTCCCACCACGTTTTTTTGTTTTGTTTTGTTTTGTTTCTTTTTGAGACAGGTTCTCCTATATCCTAGGCTGGACTTGAACTCATTATGTAAATGAGGATGACCTTGAACCTCTGATCCTCCTGCCTCCACTTCCTCCCAGTGCTAGGATTACAGGAGTGGGACACCATGTCTGTTTATGTGGTGCTGGGGACTCTGCATGACTTTGTGCATGCTGGATGCACTGTACTACCAACTGAGCTATATCCCCAGCCTTTTTTTTTTATTATCTAAAAAATTTTTAATGAGCATATAATGTGTTAGATGTCATTATGAAAACATTTTAAAATTTATTTTAATTTTATTCTATGTGTATGAATGTTTTGCCTGCACATATGTAAGTGTACCTGTGTATGCAATGCCCATGGAGGCCAGAGAGGGTGTTCGAAACCCTGGAGCTGGAGTTATAGATGGTTATCTGCCATGTTGATGCTAGGAACCAAACCCAGGTCCAGTGCTCTTAACCTCTGAGCCATCCCTCCAGCCCCACAATATTTAGTTTAAATCTTCACAATTGTGGGTACCATAATGATTCACACTGTGTCAGCGAGGAAACTGAGGGTTCCAGAAGCAAGTGACTTGCTTGCCCAAGATTCAGATTTGATTTTTAACTTTGTCTTTTCCCCATTGGCTACAGATAGCTGAGGGCTAAGCCAGGTTGGTGCCGCACAGCTTTAATCCCGGCACTTGAGAGGCAGAGGAAGGTGGATCTCTGTGAATTCAAGGACAGCCCAGTCTACATAGAGAGCACAGGCCAGCCACAGCTTCATAGCAAGGTCCTATCTCAACAAATGGAATGAATTAAAAAAACCTAACCAAACAAACTATATATACATAATATTATATTATACAGTTATATGAGTATATATATAATACCTATTTTTAAACTTAAAAAAAATTTTAGTTATTATTTTTCCTGTATGAGTGTGTTACCTGTGTGTAGTATACCAGTGTCATGAAATGCCTGTTGAGGTCAGAAGAGGGTGTTGGGGGCTGGAGAGATTGCTCAGTGGTTAAGAACACTGGTTGTTTTTACAGAAGACCCGGGTTCGAATCCCAGGATGACCTCCTGCCTCCACAAGGCAGCTTAACAACTGTCTGTAACTCCATTCCCAGGGGATCCGATGGCCTCTTCTGACCTCTGCAGGCATTGCATGACACGGGTGCACTTACCTACATGCAGGCAATACACACATACACATAAAATAAAAATAATAAACAAAAAAAATTTTTTTTTGGTCTTTTTGAGACAGGGTCTCCCTTTAGCCCCAGCTGTCCTGGAACTCACTATGTAGACCAGGCTGGCCTTGAACTCACATCGATCCATCTGCCTCTGCCTCCCGAGTGCTGGGATTAAAAGCATGCACCACCACGTTCGGCTAATAAACAAAATATTTTTAAGAAGAGGATGGTGGATCTCCTGGAACTGGAGTTATGGATGGTTGTTAGTTGTCATGTGGGTGCTGGGATTTGAACCCAGGTCCTCTGTAAGAGTAGCCAGTGCTCTTAACCGCTGAGCCATCTCTCCAGCCCCATATATAATATATATGGCATATATATGTATCATTAAATTATATTACACACACACACACACACACGCATATACACGGAAGATGACCCTTACATAATGATGCATGTAAGGCTACAGCTGCATTGTAACAGCAAGGGGCAACTTACCACAAGCAAGGCGAACAGGATGACGCCACAGCTCCACATGTCTGCCCGGCGGCCGTCATACTTTTCCCCCTGGAAGGGAGAAGGAGCCATTTCTACTGCCTCACTGCCCCTGCTTCATCCACTCCCCTCACCCTCCTCCTGCTCCGTACTCACCTTGATCACCTCTGGACATGCATAATGGGGAGACCTGGAAAGAGGGAAGGAGGAAGGAAGGGAGAGAGAGAGAAAGAGAGAGAGGTGAACTCCTGGTAAGCTTCTGACCCTTCCCGAGGGACTCAAGGGGTTGGGCTCCCAACTCACCCACAGCTGGTCTCCAGGAGGCTGTCTCCCACCTGCAGGGATGCCATGCCGAAGTCTGCAATTCGGATGTTGTTCTTCTCATCCAACAGCAGGTTCTCAGGCTTTAGGTCTCTATGGCTAAGACAAATGGGGTGGGGGGGGTCAGCCTAGGCTGCTCCGAAGAGAGCCCAGCTCCACTCACTAGCTCTGAGAGGGGTACTATTTAGTACTTTTTTTGAAACAGGGTCTCCCTGTAGCCCCAACTGGTCCGGAACTTGTTATGTTGATCAGGCTGGCCTTGATCTTACAGAGATCCACCAGTCTCTGCCTCCTGAGTGCTGGGTTAAAAGGCATGTGCCACCATGCCGAGCTCAAGTGCTTTTTTTTAAAATTTTCATTTTATGTGTATGAGTCTATTGCCTGCATGTATGTGAGTGCACCCGTGTTGTGCAGTGCCCGCGGAGGTCAGAAGAGGGCTTCGGATTCCCCTGGAACTGGAGTTAAGGACTGTTCATAGCCGCCATATGGCTGCTGGGAATCAAACCTGGGTCCTCTGCAAGAGCAGTCAGTGCTCTTAACCGTTGAGCCATCTCTCCAGCCCCTCAAGTGCTTTTTTTTTTTTTGTCTTTTTTCTGAGACAGGGTCTTCTTGTAGCCCCAGCTGTCCTGGAACTCACTGTGTAGACCAGACTGGCCTCAAACTCACAGAGATCCACTTGCCTCTGCCTCCCAAGTGCTGGGATTAAAGGCGTGCACCACCACGCCCGGCCTCAAGTGTTTTTTAAAAAAAAAAAATTTGCCGGGCTTGGTGGCACATACCTGTAGTCCCAAAACTTGGGAGGCAGAGGCAGGCGGATCTCTGTGAGTTCAGGCCAGCCTGGTCTACATAGTGAGTTCCAGGACAGCTGGGGCTCAGCTGGGGCTCTAGGGAGCCCCCGTCTCAAAAAAAAAAAAAAATAAATTTATGAGTGTTTTGTCTGCACTTTTGTAACTGAAACACATGTGTGCAATGCCCAAAGAGGCCAGAAGAGGGCAGCACATTCCCTGGAACTGGAGACAAACATTTTAAACTACCATTTAGGTGGGTGCTGGGACCTGAACCCAGGTCCTCTGCAAGAGCAGCCAGTGCCCTTAACTGCTGAGCCATCTGTCCAGCCTCTGGTGCTTTCTAAAGAAAAGCACAGGTAGCTTCAAACTGGCTATGTAGCAGAGGATGGCCTTGAAATCCTGATCCTCCTGCCTCCACCTCTCAAGTGCTGGGATTTACAGGTGTGTGCCACCATGCCAGGCCTTCTTTTTGTGTCTGTGTGTGGTGTGTGAAAGGATCTTGACGTAGTGTCTTGGATCACCTGTTACTGGATATGTGGCTCAGGTGGGCTTCAAACTTGAAGCAATATTCCTGCCTTAGTCTGTTGGGTGTTGAGATAACTGGTATATGCAACTGGCCTGGCTCTACATGTCTTTCTTTAAAATATTTTCTTTGTTTTTATTTTATGTGTGTGAATGTTTTGCCTGTATATATGTAAGTACACCATGTACATGCAGTGCCCACAGAGGCAAGAAGAAAGCATCAAATTCCCTGGAACTGGAGTTACAACTGTTAGCTGTCATGTGGGTGCTGGGAATGGAACCTGGGTCTTCTGCAAAAGCACCCAGTGCTCTTAACTGCTGAGCCATCTCTCCAGCCCATGAATCTAATTTTTAAAAATTACAATTATTTATTTATGTGTACACGCACATGCCATGGCATCATGTGGAGGCTGGAGAACAACTTACAGGAGTTAGTACTCCCTTTCTCCCATGTGAGTACCGGGTATTGAACTCAGACTTGATGGTAAACACCTTTACCCACTGGCCTATCTTGCCAGCCCCTACATGCCTTTTTTATGACAATTACAAACACATCCCAAAGGGGAGAAGATTCTAAAGCAGCCCTGTAAACCCATCCCAAGCTTCCTATCAACTTGGTAAATCTTATTCCATGTCTGCCTCCCCATCCTGGGGTTATTTTGTAGGCAAGTCCAAAAATAAAGATTTTTTTTTTCTGTTTCAGGCCCTCATGTAGCCCAGACTGGCTTCAAATTTGGAATGTAGCTGAGGGTCACCATGCCTTGAACTAGTGCCTCCAAGTGTTTAGGTTATAGGTATATACCACCATACCCCACTTGAGCCCAGATACCATAGCATTTTATCATCAAATACTTGAAATAGACACAAGGTAAGATATTTAGAGGTAAGTAAGGTTAATATTGAACTACTTATTTTATTTGTTTGTTTGTTTGTTTGTTTATAGACAAGGTCTCACTATGTAGTCTTGGATGGCCTTGAACTATCTATCTCTGCTTCCTGCATGCAGGGATTAAAGGTGTGCACCACCGTGTCTGTCCTGAATTCGTTATTAGAAATATAAGAATTGGCTGGGTGTGGTGGTGTACAAAGCCTTTAATCCTAGTATTCCAGAGGCAGAGGCAGGTGGATCTCTGTGAGTTCAAGGCCAGCCTGTTCTACATACCAAGTTCTAGGCCAGCAGGGGCTACAGGGAGACCCTGTCTCAAAAAAGACAAATAAAATAAATAAATAAATAAAATTGGGCCAGTGAGATGGCTCAGCAGGTCCTTGTTGCTAAGCCTGGCAGCCCGAGTTTGATCCCCAGGACCTACATAGTTGCAAGGACCGGCAAGTTGTCCTCTGACCTCCACATGTGGACCAGTGGTGTGAATGTGTACTCTCCAAAAATACATAAATATTTTTGAAAAAAAAAAAAAACCCAGCCAGGTATGGTGGCTCATGTCTGTAATCCCAGCACTCTGAGCCTGAGGCAGGATTGCTTTGAGTACCAGGCCAATGTAAGCTATGGTAGGAAGCCCCTTATCACCTATTCCCTCCCCAAAAATATAAAAATATTTCCATATCAAGTAATAAAAAGATATTGCCACTGGAAGCCTCTGGTCCCTCACTTACAACCCTCTTACTCCTGGACCAAAGTCCTCAAGATTTAAGGATCACCTGAAGGGATGTGGGCTGTGGAATTCTACAGTTTTTATTTGGAGTGGTCAGTAACTGGGTCACACAATATATTGAACATTCATTGCCCCTTAGAGGTTATAGTCTCCACTGTCAGAACTTGACACCCTGTCTGGTTAAAAAGGAGTTGAAAATTTAAATGGGTTACATTTTTGGTTGCTTTTTATTTTTATTTATCTGGTCTTTTTTTGAGGGGGGGCTCTCCTTGAGACAGGGTCTCCCTGTAGCCCCAGCTGTCCTGGAACTCACTATGTAAACCAGCCTGGCCTTGAACTCACAGAGATCCGCCTGCCTCTGCCTCCCGAGTGCTGGGATTAAAGGCGTGTGCCACCACGCCCAGCTTTATTTATCTGATCTTTTTGAGACAGAGTTCTCCTGTAGCCCCAGCTGCCCTGGAACTCGCTTTGTAGACCAGGCTGGCCTTGAACTCAGAGATCTATCTGCCTGCCTCTGCCTCCTGAGTCCTGGGAGTAAAGGTATATGCCACCATGCCCAACTTTTTGGTTGCTTTTTTAAAAAATATTTCTTTTTATTTTTAATTACATCTATGTATATGTGTGTTTCTATGGAAATAGGCATGTGAGTACAAGTGCTGTAGAAGTCAGAGGTGTCAGATCCCCCTGAAGCTGGAGTTACAGTAGTTATGAGCCACCTGAGCTGGGTGGTGGAAATTGAATTTGGGTCCTCTGCAAGAGCAGTAATAACTCTTAACCACTGAGCCACCTCTCCAGTCCCCACTCCCTCTATTAAGACAGGGTCTTCCTATGTAGCCCTGACTGGCCTGCAACTTTTTATGTAGACTAAATTCTCATTGATGCTTGTGGTTCTGTCTAGGATTACAAACAAACAAACAAAATTCTTAACACTTCTAGAAGAAAGCATAGCATGAAATCTTAGTAACCTTGAGTTCGTTTTTAAGTAGGACAGAAGGTTGGTGAGATGGCTCAGGGGGTAAAGGCACTTGTTGTCAAGCCTGACAACCTGAGTTTGATGCTCAGGACCCCCATGGTGCAAGGGAACCGACACCTGCAAGTTATCCTCTGACTTCCTCAAGCAAATGTGCCCACATTCACACACCCCAATGATAAAAAGATTAAAAAAAAAAAAAAAAAGCCGGGTGTGGTGGCATATACCTTTAATCCCAGCACTTAGGAAGTAGAGGCAAGAGGATCTTTATAAGATCTAGGCCAGCCTGGTCTACATATAGTGGTGTACACCTGTAATGTCAGCATTCAGGAAGCTGAGGCAGGAGGGCTGCCATGGGTTTGAGGGCAGCCTAGTCTACATGGTGAGCTCCAAGCTGACTTGACTTCTATGAAACTCTTTCTGTTCACACTAGAAACAAAAAACACAACAGCAATGAAAGGAAAGAAAGAAAGAGGGAGGGAGGGAGGGATCAAGGCAGGCAGATTGCTTGCCTAGCATGCACAAGGCCCAGAATCACAAAAAAAGACAAGAAAAAAAATGCAGTTCTAAAATTACATAGCATCCACACACAAGGCTGAAAATATATTTAAAACCACTAAAGTGTATACTTTTTCAAAAAGGGTGACTGGTATGGTTGGTGAGTTATAGCTCAAGAATTACAAAAAAAGATAAAAGATTTGTTTGAGGGCTAACCACACTAGTTTCTGCTCAGTCCTGCATGTGGATGCAGGGATCTGGCTCCCGGGCCACCCTCAGCCACCTCCCCCTCCAGCTGCCTCCTCACCAGATGGAGTAGCTGTGGCAGAAGTCCAGCGCCGACACAATTTGGCGGAAGAACTTGCGGGCCTCCTTGGGTGTCAGTCGCCCCTTTTTTACCAGATAGTCGAAGAGCTCGCCCCCAGAAACGTGCTCTAGAACCAGGTACCTGAAAGATACAGACGGGGCAGAGGGCTGGAAGGGGCATGTGGTGGACCAAGGGCCTGCTTTCCCTCTTCTGAAGATGGAGCACCCCAATTCCCAGCAATTGGGGTGGGGGGGAACGACACGGGACATGGACGGACCTCCAATTCCCATGAGTCTCTAGGAGAGAGACTTCAATTGCCAGGAGCCTCTAGGAGACAGTGATTCCAAAAGCCACCAGTCTCTAGGAAACCAAAACTCAATTTCTATTAGTCCTGGGTAGCGCAGATTCCCAAACAAACGCTTAGCTGTTTTTTGGTGATAAAGCAATTCCATTGGCACTTGACGTCAGAAACTACAATTGCCCTAGAACTCTGGGAAATAAAGACCCTACACCCCTTGCCCCCCACCCCAAAGCCAAGCCTCTAATTTTCATAAGCCTCTGTTTTGAAGAAACCCAAGTTTTTATTCATTCTTAGGCAGTAACGATTACAGTGTGCACCAAAGAGAAACTGCATCCCCCATCAACTCCAAGAGCTTTTTAAAAACTCCCAAATCCCATAAGTCTCTGGGACATAAAGAGTCCCAAGTCCCATCAGCCACCTGGATTCTAAAGACTCCAAATCCCATCAGACTTTGAAAGACTAAATCTTGAATTCCCATCGGCTCTCAGGAAACAAAAGCCCAATTTCTGAGCTGTTGGCCAGCTAGATTTCCGTGTGAAGTACAAACTCCCATGGGCCCTCTCTCAGGACTGATGGTGGAGCGGTAACTATTACCTGTGGAGACAATGGCATCGCCTGCCCTCCATACCTTGGGGAGGGGGGCATGGACTACAACTCCCATGCGCAAGTAGGAGTGGAGCAGAGCTTCCTGCCTGGGGAACCCTGTCTCACCATCTGATGGATGTTGGTTGGAGTGGCCTCATCCTGTGCCCTGGGTAGTTGTGACAGGAGGCCTGTCCCCCTCCTGCTGCCCAATCCAGCTGCCCTTTGTGAACCAGAGAGTCTGGACAAAGAGTCATTCTCTGATGTCCAGAAAGCTGAGCCCCACCCCCATCCTTCCTGGAGGGTTATGGACTTTGAGATACTGACTCAGAACTCGAAAGGAGGCCCATTGTTGGGTTATCCAGCGGTGGGATCTGAAGTGATGTTGTGGGGAGGAGAGGAGCCCTTAGATGTCTCAGAGTAGGAGTCTGGGAAGATCCTTTGGGCTTTGCTAGCCTAATGCTAATCCTAACTGCTTTAGGAAGGAAGAGGCATTTAACTGGACCTGGTGGTGCAGGCCTGTATTCCAGTTACCCAGGAGGCTGAGCCCGGGTCCTCCACTCAGGACCACTTAGATCTGACTGCCCTGTTACATTAGGCTCAAATATGGATTTGAGGGTGTTCCTGTGCTCAAGGGAAGGGGCTAGGCCCTCACAGGCCCAACCTAGAATCTCAATTATTATTTATTTATTTATTTATTTACCCACTTCCCAGGTAGCACTCTCCCATAGCCTCCCTCCCCTCACTAGAGCCCTTATACTCTGATATCCCTGCTACTGTCTGCTGTGTTGTCA